GAGGGCATTGTAAGCGGCAGAGTGGCCTTGCTGCCACGATCCTCTAAGACTCAGCCCTTTGTTGCTTTGATTCGCCCCCCCATCCGGATTCAAAACCCCTCTAAGCTTTTTCCGGGTTAATCGCGGAGGCTGTCACTTCAAAGCAGTCCCTAAGGGAAATGCAAAGGCGTACGCTTGGTAATTTTCTGATACTCTTGTGCGGCACTAGCGGTCCGAAGGGAATGGGAACGATGGAAGTCATCCTGACGCGTGCAAGTTTGCAATTGGCATTGCCTTAGTGCAAGATTTGTTTTCGAAATGTTGTACAATGCACGGTACGCGGGCCCTCGATTTTTGAGACCACGCAGTGTGGAAGATGTTAGTCCTCAACCAGTCGTCCTTGGAGTCATCCTTGGGGGCGAGAGGGCTCTTGCGGACAACGAGATTCTCACGACCGTCCACATAAAGAACGACTTCTTTAGCATAATCATCGTAGACTGGATCTCTTGACTCTTCAAGACATATCTCTTGACTCTTCAACTTTTTCATCATTATAAACGATGTCTTCCTCCACGAACATACTCATGTTCTTCTGTAGGACGGGCTTTTTGCATTCCGTCACCCTATGTCCCGGTCCGCCACAAAGTTAGCACTTAATCACCTCCACGTTGTCATGGCGCCTCTCTCGTCGGGGGGCGGGGGGAGTGTTCGTCACCCTGAGGCCGCTAACTCGTGCACGCACCATTGATGATGAAGGATGATCTTCCTTTTCGTCGAACTGAGCTCTCATACCAGATGACGCCGAATAGAATCCAGGTGTCCGCACAGAATGAAGAGAACAACGAATAAGAGGGAAAGAGAATAATAGCTAGTGGAAAACTCCACGCTAGGGTTATGATATAATATGAAAAGTAAAGTGCGGATGAAAGAACCCCACAAGCCGGCCTAGGAATGAGGAGTGAATGGGCTGAACAAAAAGCAGGCCATAGGCCCGAAAACAATAAAACTGCAAAATGGCGGCCTAAACGAGCGAATTTGAGGTGATAACTGAAGTCCGATGGGCTCTGCCCGATCGGCCCCCTGTGCGTCTCGTTGAGTCCTTTCCGGAAAGTGGTCGCACGTTGAAAACGGACACTCGTAGGAAAAGTTATGCCCAAAAATTGGACACCCCAAGGGGCTTCTTCCCCAAAAGTTTGCTAGTGTGTTTTGCAAATTTGTATGATCCATGAATGATGTTTCGTTATGGGCCGTGACGAAGATTTTGCTTCGTGTTTGAGTTTGGGGCCCGTTTGGTGAGTGCGACTCTACAGCAAAATCGTATCTGCTACTGTAACCTGGGTTTATGTTTTTTAAGCATATATAGGGGAGGTATGTTCCGTGAAGGTTTTTTTGGCCGGTTTTAAAAGGCCTGGTTTTTGCCCTTGCTAGGCCGTGTGTTACCTCATGCGCACCCTTGTGACATCGGGGGGCATGATCATGTTTTCACATGCTCGCTCGGGGAATGCCGGCTATCGTTGCATCATGTAGCGGGGGGCATGGTCGGTTAAGGCCATTAAAAATAGTTCATATATCTTTTGTAGCTGGAAATCAAATTGTGGGTGGCATGAATTTTGTTTTTCACATGTGGTTTTTGAAGTGTGGGCTTTCGGAGAACCACTTTTTTTGCCGTTTTGGCTATTGCTTTTTCGTCGCCCCAAATGTTTGTTAGTGTGTTTTGCATATCATTCTGATCTAAGAATGATGTTTGGTTACGGGCTGTGACGAGGAATTGGCTTGGTGTTAGAATTTGGGGCCTTTTTGGTGAGTGTGACTCTACAGCAAAATCGTATCTACTGCTGTAACTTGGGTTTATGTTTTTTAAGCATATATAGGGGGGGTATGGTCCCTGAAGGATTTTTCGTTCGGTTTTAAAAGGCCTGGTTTTTGCCCTTGCTAGGCCCTGCGTTAGCTCACACCCTCCCTTGGCGCCTCGTTCGGCTAGTGTCCCACCCACTAGCAACAAGAACGGACGTCAGAGCAAATGCAGTTCGAGTTGGCGATGGGAATCGGTGTTGGGCATCGGTTTGTTGGCCCCCGAAATGCTGGTTGTTGGGATGCCGGCATTTCAAGCGAGGATGATTGGGATGTCCTTGTGGGGCTAACACTCCGAGGTCGGATTTCGGTTTGACGAGGTTAGGTGTGTCGGCCCTGCACTAGCTCCTTCTCTTTCGGCATTTGGTTCTTCTATTAAACCCACCCAAGTGGAAGGACCAGGCGTCGGGGGCTAGTGCAGTCGGTTTTATGGTGGCTCTAAGTGGGTGGGACGGTTGGCTACAGTTTTGTTGGCCTTCGAAATGCCGGTTGTTGGGATGCCGACATTTCGAACGGGGATGGCTGGCTGTTTCATCCTCGCTGAGTCGACTCTTGGAAGGTTGGATTTTGGTTAGCCAAATTTCTTTAATTTGGCTCGTTGTGCCGATGTTAGGTGTGTCGGCCCTGCTTTAGCTCCTTCCTATCCGGCGTTTGGTTCTTCCATTCCACCCACCCAGATGGAAGGACCAGGCGTCGGGGGCTAATGCAGTCGGTTTTATGATGGCTATAAGTGGGTGGGACGGTTGGCTACGGTTTTGTCGGCCTTTGAAATGCCGGTTGTTGGGATGCCTGCATTTCGAACGGGGATGGTTGGCCAGTTCATCCTCGCTGAGTCGACTCACGGATGGTTGGATTTCGGTTAGCCAAATTTAGTTAATTTGGCTCGTTGTGCCGATGTTAGGTGTGTTGGCCCTGCTTTAGTTCCTTCCAATTCGGTGTTAAGTTCTTCGATTGCACCCACCCAGGTGGAAGTACAAGGCGTCGGGGGCTAATGGAGTCGGTTTTAGGTTGGCTCTAAGTGGGTGGGACGGTGGCTACGTTTTTCTTCGGTCTTGCATGGCACTCATCGACGCGACTGTCATGGGCACCAGGCATTCGCTGGTGGGCTGACTGCTGAGTTAAAAACTTGGCCTTTGGTCTGTTGGTGGGTTGTGCGGTGTGTATGAAGTTTGCGATGCGTAATTGTGTGTGATATGTATTTGGTTTTCATGGTCAGGTTTGATCCTTGCTCTAGCAGCAAAAACTTGCCGTGAAAGCCTTTTCAATTTGGTGGGTTCCACCTTTGTCTGCAATGGTTTCCTTTGTTCTGTACCCTTTCGGTGGCATCCTTACGTTCCAACTGCTGAGTTCTGTCGTGTGCCTGCTCGTGTGGGAACCAAAGGGTTGGCATTCGATTGACGCCATGGCACCGCTTGTGGTACACTATCTGTTGTCTCTTTTCCGGAAAGTTTTGGCCCATTGGTTGTTGTTG